GAGGCAGGGCAGAGTTTCCACTCAACTCTCATCCATGAATAGGCTACTTATGCGATTTTATGACTCACACAAAACAAGAGAATGTGGGTACCTGGAGAGAAGCTGAAGATTGCCTAGTGCAAGGACCAGCAAAGTAAATGAAGAAAAGGCTCCCAGAAGCTCCCCCCTCATTTCCTCTTAACATCTGATTGGACAGAACTCGGTCACACGCACACCTTTTAAGCAGTCAATACCACGGGGACTAGAATAGCTGGTGTTGTCTTTTCGAGAGCACGGGTTCAACTTCAGCCAAATGTTGGAATCACCTGGGATGCTCCTTAAAATGCCAATGTGGGGCCAGGGATTTAGCTCAGTGGTTCCGGCACCTGCCTCGAAAGCACAAGGACTCAAGTTCGATCCTCAGTAACACCCCCCCCCAAAAAAATGCCAATGTGGAAGCCAGGCATGGTGACATGTGCCTGTTTGTAATACCAGCTACTAAGAGCCTGAAGCAGGAAAACTGAGAGTTCAAGTCCAGTTTAGATGACGTAGCAAGACCCTGTCTCAAAAATTTTAAAAGTCAACGTGGGGTTCCCACTCCCAGATTAGTTGGTTGGGCCCACCTTCTGGCCGTGGAATTTTTAAAACTCTCCGGGTGCTGAAAATAATTGCTCTAGTCCAGTCTTCACCCCTGTCCATTTTATAGATGTCAGTAGTAAGGTCCAAAGATGTTCACTTGCCCAAAGGACAGTCTTCAATTAAAAGCAAAAACAGAGATGAGCAAAACTATGCCCACAGATGACATTTAATAGGATAGCTTTGTTTTCCCAGAATATGCATGTGAATACTTTGAAATAAAACTTATGTGTGGGGAGGTAATTATTTTGGACTAAGCCCCCAACAGGCCAGACCAACCAGAAAGCAGTCACTCATGCTAGGTGAGCCTTAAGCAAGCTGAACTTTTTTGGCGGGGGGGTACCGGGGATCAAACTCGGGTCCTTGTGCTTGCGAGGCAAGTGGCGAAACCACTGAGCTAAATCCGAGGCCCCTGGCTGAACTTTAAAACAGGCCAGTTTTCCAAAACAAACAAACGAGGAAAAAAAAAAAAAAAAAAAAGGAGGGCAACCAATTCAAAAGGGCCTGGTCATTCTAAATGGGTAAGTGAAGAAAGTCTCTTTTGCTTTGTATTAGCCCATGTTCTGTTGCTAAAATACACCTGGGTAATAAGGTATAAAGAAAAGAGTTTCATTTAGCTCACAGTTTTCGGGGCTAAATGTCCAGGATCAAGCAACCCCTTTGGCTCAGCCTCTGGGGAAGGACGAATGACATGACATCATGGCATGACAGGAAGCCAAAGGAGACGTTCAGGAGTCAGGCTTGCTTTTTTATAACAACTCAATCTTGCAAGAACAATTAACTCACTCGGTGAGGCTGGTATCCACCTCTTCCAAGGGCAGCACTTCCGGTGACCCAGTGACCTTAAATTAAGCCTCAACACTTAAAGGGTCCCTGACCTCCCAAGCCCACCGAGGACCAAGCTGTCACTGAGGAACCCTTGGATGTCACACTCTAATGCTATCCAAACCAGCACCTTCTAAGGAAAGTCACTTTGAAATTACCAATCTGCTTTTTGTTCCTTATTTCTGCTTCTTTCTACCTTTTCTGCAAATGAAGCCCACCCCCCTGCTCTTTCGGAGCGCCTTTCTATTTCACAGATGGGATGCTGCTGGATATGTGAATTGCTAATAAAAGCCAAATGAAGCCCTAAACTCAATTTGTTGACATTTTGTTTTTTGACAGAATCCACTATTTTTCTTAGAAAGTGAAGTCCCCAGAAACTCAAAGATCAAGAAGCAGTATGGTGCAGTTTGCAGGGCTCAAACTGAAGTGTGGTCGGAGCCCCTGGAGGGCTGATTATACCAAAGACAGAAAGGGCCCTACCCATGGAGTTTCAGCTTCCATGGATTTGGGGTGGAAGGAAAAATAATTAGCATTTCTAACAAGTTCCCAGGGGATAACCTTGCCGCTACTGCTGTAGTGGCTAAGAGCTTGGCCTGTGGAATCCGGCTGTCTCGTTAAGATCCTTTCCTGCCACTTATAAATGAAATGAGAATTTGAGCAAATTACTTGACAAATCTACAAATTGGGGCTGATAGTAGCTCAGTCTTCTTACAATAGTTGAGTGGGTATAAATGCTCCCTGGAGATGGGGTCGTCCCAATAAATCCATCTCAAGTCAAAAATATTGCATAATTTAAAAATGCATATCACACCCCAATAAACCTATTGTATGCTTTTGGTACCAGGGATGAAATTCAGGACTTTGTGCTTGAGAGGCAGGTGGTGGCACTACTGAGCTAAATCTCTGGCCCCACCAATAAACCTATTGTAAAGTTAAAAAATCATGAGTTGAACTATAATAAATTGGGGAGCATGCGAATAATACATGTAAAGCATTTAAAACAGTATCTAGCCAGGCATACTGGCATATGGCTATAATCTAGAAAGCTTAGGCAGGGAGACTGAAAATTCAAACCCAGTCCAGGAAACTTAGTGATTCTATGAGACCCTGTCTCAAAATTAAAAAGTTAAAAAGAGGGTGGGGATGTAGCTCAGAGCAAAAGTCCTGGGTTCAATTCTCAGTACTATTAAAAAAATAAGTGCCTGGGCTGGGGATTTAGCTCAGTGGTTTCACTGCCTCCTGCACAAGCGCAAGGACCCAAGTTCAATACCCAGTACCAAAAAAGTAAAATAAAATAAATGCCTGGACTATAATAATAGCCTACTGGACATTACTTAGCTGTTATCATTTGTGCCTTCACCAAACAGTTATTAATTGAGTGCTTCCTTTGAGTCAGGCACTGTTCCAGGCACCAGGAGTATGTGGTGAGTAAGCCAAAATCTCTCCTCTCCATGAACCTACAGTCCACTGGGGAGGCGCATAATAGCTAACTTTGTCAATACAGACTATAATGTGAGCCACAGATTTAGCTCAGTGATTCCACTGCCTGCCTCCCAAGCACAAGGACCCAAGTTCTATCCCTGGTACCAAAAAAGAAGAAAATACAGACTATAATGTTACACAGAAAGATTCTGCATTCTAAGCACACTTGTTCCAGAACTACCCAGTCTTAGTGTATGAGGACCAACCCCAAGGTGCCATGAGTCTGAAGAAAGAGGCAGATAGGTCTAAGATTACATAGAGTGCAATTTATTGGGGGATTTACTGATGGAACCATGGGCCCAGGCCCCAACAAGACCAGTTGGATACCCACAATTTGGGTCAGAAAGAGTGGTGTATTTAGGGTTAGGACAAAAGTGATTTCATCTTGGCTGAAATGTACATGGTTTATCTTAAGATAACATTTGAGTCAGGCGTGTGTCTGGAGCCAGGGTCCAATTGTAAAGCCGCCCCCCCAACATATGACTCTAACAGCCGTATCTAGTTATAGTTTGCCCAGAAACTATGAAGAAAAAAACAGCCAGAGTTACTCAGGGGAAATCATGGCAGTTATAATTCAAGATGGCTGCAGTTACGCCAAGCTGTGTCCATACAGGACTGAACAGCAGGTGCACAGAGAATTTTACAAGAACTTGTTTCAGCCATGTTGGACTTTTCTAGCTCCAGGAGTTAATGCCATTGCATCCCCAATGCAAAGGGTCCTGAGTAAATTGGGTCTTACCATGGTAGTTGAATAAAGCTCGGGTTATAGTATAGCCCTACCAGTTAACCCAGTTTTGTCAATAGGTTTTGTTGGAAATGAAAAAATATGAAACAAGAATAAGATGGGTAGCAAGTGTGACCGGAAGAAAAGAGCGAGAGAAAGTGGTAATGGATCAGATGTTTTACATATGTTATTGGGCTTAATCCTCTTATCCATCTTTGAGGAGATATAATTGGGTGAGGAAGGAAGCAACCTGTCTAAGGCTAAGTAGGGGGGAGTGGCATGCTAATGATCTCAACCAGTGGTCAAGTTAGCCTAGAGAGGAAGCAAAGAATAAGGCCACTGTCCTATCATGAGCTCCATTTAATCCCTTTCTTCTAGGTCTCCAGGCAGGGTCTAGGGTCCAGCCATAACTGCCATCACATATTTATGTGATTTTCTACCCTCCTCCTAAAGCAGGTGACAGTGATATAAGCAGATGCAGCAAATACAACCACCTCTGAATCACCCCTCTCCTGGTATGTTTGTCTCATCATGTTTTAAAAAAACCCTTTATTATGTTATACACATTCATTGCTGGAAAATACTGAAGATTGGACCCAGGGAATGCTAAGCTACATCCCCAGCCCTTTTTAATGTTTTTAACTTTGAAATAGGATCTCACTGAATTGTCCAGGCTGGCCCTGAACTAGCAGCCCTCCTGCATAAGCCTTCCAAGTTGCTGGGATTACAAGTATGCAACACTATGCCCGGTCCTGACTAAAATTTTGATCCCAATTCCCTTCAGTATCTCAGATCACGGAGACCCTGTCTTCGGTGTTTCCAATTTTCACATGTTAGTCCAACTGGAAGTTTATTTTATTTGTTTTCAATCTGGGAAGGAGATTGGTCCTCTACATTTTGTTGGTTGAGGGTCATGGATTTGGGGAGTAGGTAGGTAGCGGTCAAGTATGGGGTTTTCAATTTCCAAGCATTCACTTCCCCTCTTTGGGGCTGAAAGGTATCACAAGCCTTTTTTCATATGGCCATCTCTATTCAAGAAGCCCGCCATTGGGTTGATTGTTGTGCTTTGTTGTTTTTGTTTTTTAAAGTTCTGGTAGCTTTCAGTTCCTTGGCATGTATTTGGACCTTGGTGATAGCTGGAATTGGTCGTGACCTTGAGGCCTTCATTTGTAATGATGCCTGGCAGCTGCAGGGGGGTGGTCTTGTCTCTAGCTCTGTCTCTCTGGAAACAGTGTCTATTAGAGCTCAGCGCACCCTAGAGGGGCGGATCCGGAGGGAGGATGGCGGCCGCGCCTCCGGTAACCTAGCAACCGGTGCTGAGCAACGACGAAGGGAGGCGGAGCCGAGGGAGGAAGTCGGAAGTAGAAGGCCAAGTCTCGCGAGAGTTGCGTTGGCGCGTGAACTGTAAGTTCCTTACTTCGGGAGTCCGATTGCGGCTGGTGGTCAGTTATACAGACCTTATTCACTTTAGTCTTCCCATCATGGAAGTCTCAGAGCTCAAGCAGCAGCAGCAGCCCGCGACGGCCAAGATCAGGAACCTTCCCTGGTAGGAGGCTTGGCTGTCGCAGTGGGAAAGGGGTCGCGGGGAGTTGGGGCGATTGCCGGGACCCTACCTGACCTCGCTCAGCCGTCCCCGTGAGCCGCGGAGCTTTGCCTTGACGTTTCCCCCGCCAATTTCCCAGGTCCCTACTTAGATTGTGCCGCTACTGATCCATTCCTCCCATCCCAATGTCCAAAAATGAGAAGTGGCTTTCGCAACTGGTAACAGCCGGAGAGTTCGATCCTGTGTCTCCAAGCCAGAACGCCCTCTTGCCTCCCGCCAAAATCCTCGATGCGACTATCTGTCGAATTCTAAGTGGAACCATAGTAACTATATTATTTTTTAAATCAATGGCTTGCTATTAGATTAGCAGGCACCCTATTTAAACCTTTACAAAGATCCAGGAAGTACCTCCTATTATTATTCGAATTTTACACACAAGGAAATTGCATTTTATATAGGTTAAATGACTTGCTAAGGTCAAGGGCTAGAAGTTTTGGATTTGAATCCTGCTCTGAATTCGGAGCTTGCACTCTTAATCATCGTACTGCAACAGCTGTTTCCTAGTGATGCAAGACTTCGATGGGATTTGGCTTGTTTTGGGAAAACTACAAGTTGTTCTTGTCTAATAACAAATTTGTTTTTTGTTATGGTAAAAAACATAACATTTAGAGTGGTAACCATTTCAAAGTGTACAATTAAGTACATCCAGAATGTTGTGCAACCATCCCTGTATCTGGTTCCAAAAATTGTCATCATCCCTAGTGGAAACCCCATCCATACTCACTGGCAGCCACTTTCCATCACCCTTCCTGGCTGGTCCACTAACTTACCTCCTGTCTGTATGGATTTGCCTATTTTGGACATTTCATATAAGGGAATCATGCAATATATGGCTCTTTGTGTCTGGATTCTTTTTTTAAGTTTAAAAATTTATTTCATTAACTTAAAAAGTGAACAAAATGTGTATTTCAAGTTATTAAACTTATTTATCTGAAATACATGCTTACACAGAGGACAGATACAGATTTCTGTTAATTTCTGCAATAGTCCATTGTCCATTTAAAAATATTTATTCTTCCACAAAAACTCTTCATTTAAAGACAGAAAATCTTTTCTTTTATACTGCATAACAGCTAGATGTACGTTTTCAGTGTGTTGTACTTCTGATGTATTCATTTCATTGTCAACCCTGATGATGAAGATGGGAGGCACAAATGTTCACAGTTCACATGATTGATGCAAACGAAAAGCTGTTTCCCTCAGCTACAAAGAAGCCTCCATCATGTCCCTCACAGTAGGATCACATACTTGATGCCCACAGTAGATCACTTCTTCTTCTCTTTCCCTTTTTTACTTCCCTCTCCTTGCTGAAGGTTTGGGTCACCACCTCCTGTTTTCTGTGTCCTTGTTTTCAGTTTAGGTATCATTTCTGCTGCATACAACATTACTGATTTACCTCAAGAAATGCATTGAGTCCAACTGCTGAGCATACATCTTGAATCTTGGTAGCTGTAGGATTTTCAACAGCCTTATTGGGATCCACCTCCCCTCTCCGATGGTTTTCTTATTATTTAAATAAGCAGGGTAGATACAAATAAACCTGTCTTGGTCTGCTGGGGACCGTGCAGTGGCACAAGCCATTTCCACACAGCCCCAGATCTCACAGAACCCGTAAGGAGAGGACTAGCTGGAAGTCCCCTGGACTCTTACATTTAGCATGTTTTCAAGGTTTATCCATGTTGTAGCATGGGTCAGTACTTCATTCCTTTTTATGGCCAAATCATACTACATTGTATTGGGATGTGAGTTTAGTTTCAATTTCACTTTGAAGTAGTAGATGTTCATGCAGGTTGACATAAGCAGATGGCTAGAAAGGTGAGAGTAGAGCCAAGTTTTTAAACCTCAGTACTGTTGACATTTGGGGCCAGATACTGGGCTGCAAGGGAGTATAGGGGAGCTGTCTTGTGCAGTATAGCATGTTTAGCAGCATCCTGCATACCTACCCACAAGATGCTAGTAGCACACTTTGCCCAGTTATAAAAACTAAAATGTCGCTAGATATCGCCATGAGTTCTTTGCAGGATAAATCGCCCCTGTTTGATAGACACTGGTCTATATTCAATTCTTTTTTTTTTTTTTTGGTACCAGGGATTGAACTCAGGACCTTGTGCTTGCAAGGCAGGCACTATGCCACTGAGCTAAATCCCCAGCCCTATATTCAAATTTAAAAGGTTTGTTTCTCTTCCTCTTTTAATTAAGATATAAAAGGATTCTTTTGCATATGAAGAAAAAATTCTTGCAGTTACATATGTTGTAATACATTGTAAATTGTATTTCAGGGTTGAGAAATATCGGCCACAGACACTGAATGATCTCATCTCTCATCAGGACATTCTGAGTACCAGTAAGTGTCGAGAGATTGCTGTTATCCTAGTTGAAAGATCTCTGTACCCTTCTTGGTGATATTGTCTCTGTTGAGCTTTGTAGAATGTGGCTTTAAGAATTTTTCATTCCTGCATCTGCCTCTGATTGGGACATTGCTATGGGCTGAAACACATTCAACCTAACTCAAGAGCCCACATGAAATGAGGTGGCTCTCAAAGACTGATTCATCATTCGCTCTCTCTCTCTCTCTCTCTCTCTCACTCCCTGATCATCAGTTCAGAAATTTATCAGTGAAGACCGACTGCCACACCTGCTTCTCTATGGCCCTCCAGGGACAGGAAAGACATCCACCATTCTTGCCTGTGCTAAACAGCTATACAAAGATAAAGAATTTGGTTCCATGGTCTTGGAGGTAAATAGAATTATTATCATTCTACAAGTAACTAAGAACTTTACAGTCTCTTAACTTTTGTTCTGCCAATTTTATTTAAGTTCCCCACTGGGAATTGAGAAAAAAGCAGATTTGAACTAAGATATTTTACTTCAAATAATGGTCAGTTTTGTCCGCATTGACATTTGTCAGCTAGAGGGCAATTGTAGGGTGAGATATTTTTCTTTGCTGTTGCTTTTATCTGAACCATATTTGATGATCACTATGTTCTTGATCATCTATTATGCACCCCCACTGCATCCTTTCTCCAGTTTTCATCACCCTGTCCTTACCTGGAATGGCTGAGCTGCATTGATTATAAGCTCCCTTGCCCTCCAGTTCCTGCTTGGGTTTGGCTAATAGAGGTATGGGCAGGGGTCAGAGAAAGGAAGAGAATAATGCCTGGACCTTCCCTGGGGGTTAACATGGGCCCCACTGCAGGGCCTACCCCATAGATGGTACCCTACCCACAGTCTGCTGCAGGTGCCTACAGCTGCTCCCTCCCTAAATCCAGTCAGGCTTGGGGTGATAACAGTTATTGCATGGCCCTATGATTTTCTATATCTAAACTTTTTGTTTTGAGACAGAGTCTCACTATGTAGTTGAGGCTGACCTTGAACTCACTCTGTAGTTCAGGCTGGCCTTGAACTTACCACGATTCTCCTGCCTCAGCCGCCCAAGTGCTAGGATTATCAGCATGTGCCACCACAGTTGGCCCCAACCAACATCTTTTAAAAATATCTTCCTGGGCCAGGGATGTAGCTCAGGGGCACTGCGCCTGCCTGGCAAATGCAAGGCCCTGAGTTTGATTCCTGGTACTGGGAAAGAAAAAAAAAAAAATCTTCCTATAATTGTCTTCAAGTTACTGCATTCAAGTATGCCATTTGTATATTTTTGTAACTTTGATACACTGAGGTTACAAAAATCTAAATGTGTATTGCAAGAAAAGTGATTTACTTACTTTTCAGATATGGGTCTAAGAACCTCCCTGCCCCTAGTGTTCTTTCTTCGATGTATTCCGGATGTGTAACCTCTGCATCAATCTGAATTGAAATAGCTAAAATTAGCTAGAAATGCTGCTCAAGGTGACCGAGCCAATTACTTATTCCCAAATTTACATAGAGAGATTGTCTTCACAAATCGGGGCTGGCGGGGGGGGGGGGATCATTTGTCTTCCAGATGTAATGTGGTGATGGCTTAGTGAGCTTAGAGTACTACTGTGATTTTTTTTTAAATTATCTTGTAGCTGGATTAGATCTGGAGAACTAATTTGCTGAGCTGGATTGGTGAGTAGACTAAAACCAAGAATTCCTAGATAATAAACATTACGGCTTCTCTTTCTCATCGTGTAGCTGAATGCTTCTGATGACCGAGGAATAGATATTGTTCGGGGACCAATCCTGAGCTTTGCCAGCACCAGGACAATATTTAAGTAAGAACTGTATAATTTCTCTCCCTAGAGACTGTGATCAGGGAAATGATATAGTTTAATTTTTTGAATCCTCCTAATTATCAGTTTATAAAAGTAAAAACACGACTGTGAAAAACAGCCATGAAAAAGAGATCCAAGTACAGGGATGGTGGGAAGAAATGTTATAATACAAAAACTAAGATAAAGTGTTATCTAAACCTCCATTAGCAGCACCTTCAGGAAGCATTAGCTTCATTTTGATTCTTAACTAAGGACCAATTAAATCTAAGACTGAATGAGCTGGTTTGAATTTAAACAAAAATAAATTGAGATCAGGAAGGATGACTAAGATATTAGTTTTAAAAAGAAGGGAAAAAACGGTGAAATGACTTGGAGATGGAGTCAGGGAGATGGAAAAAAAGCAGATAATGGGGCTGGGGGTGTAGTCAGTGGTACAGGGCGTGCTTAGCTCGTGTGAGGCCGTGGGTTCAATCCTCAGCATCAAAACAAACGGCAACAACAGCATACGGTAATAGGATACTGTGCAGAAGGAAGACGAAGGCACCAGAGACCATAAGCCCCGTACAGAAATGAAATCTCATTTCCCACTAAGGCTTGAAGGCGTGTGGGACAGTCCCTGGGTGTGTGGCCACAGATGTCAGCCTCAGGCAGAGTTTAGGAGAGATGGAGTTCACAGGACAGGGCCTGGTGGCATGAACACGAAGATGGAGGTTTGGGCTGGATGCTAGAATGAGATGGAATAACTCCTGAGGTGTGCTGTTTGATTTCCTAGGAAAGGGTTTAAACTAGTGATCTTGGACGAAGCTGATGCCATGACCCAAGATGCCCAGAATGCCCTGAGAAGAGGTAAGAGCTGGCCAGTACTGCACAGTGCACCAAAAAAAGACTTAGGAACTGAGATGCTGGCACGGCATGTTTCCCATTTTTCTTCCTCTTCTGGTCCAGTGGGTCCTTTCTCCACATACCTGACAACTCAGACAAAATGCCTGTAGCCATGGTTTCCCCTTCAGTGGCTTAAGGACATAGCCCTGTTGGGACCTCTGTTTGGTTTTTTGTTTTTGTGTGGTACTGAGGCTCAAACCCAGAGGTACTTTACCACTGAGTACATCCCTAACCCTATTTCTTTATTAATTTTTATTTTAAGACAGGAGGATCTCGTTAAGTTGCCCAGGTAGGAATTGAACTTGCAGTCCTCCTGACTCAGCCTCCCTAAGTACTGGGATTTCAGGCATGCACCACCACACCTGTTGGGACTTTTACGTATGCCTGGTCACTGGGATTTTTTCTTCCTTTGCTGCTGGATTCGATTTCAGGTTAGAGATTTGTATCACTCAGTGGGAGGGTAAGGAAAGTCTTTCCTTATAAGCTATTAGATAGGCCCTTCTGCCATTGGTACCTTCAGATGCAGGAGAGCTAGGAAAAGAGTATCTGGAGTGTAGGGGCACTCTGCAAGCTGACGTAACTTCCCTACTTAGCAAGTGAATGATTCTGCAGGGAAGGGAGAGAATTCTGATCTTTCCGCCTCACGAGGGCCATTGAAGTTGTTTTTTGGGTTTTTTTTTCTAGACAGGCTCTTGCTGTATAGTCCAGGCTGGCCTTGAACTCTTGGTGATCCTCCTGCCTCAGCCTCTCAAGTGCTGGGATTACAGGCATGCACCACCACCCCGACTGCCATTGCAGTTAAAGGCGCCTTGTACTCCCACATTAAGATTCAGAGGGAATCAGCTGTGAGAGAAAGATGTTCTTTAGGAGCTCAGAGGGAAGGAGTGGACTGCAGCACGTGTTGAGGAGGGCGGTGGGGGGAGAACAGTTACTGTGTCTTCTGGCCCTAGGAGCGCTGGCAGCCTTTCTTCAGCATCTTGTTCTGCAGAGTGACTGCCAGTCTGGGCAGATCCTCATGTGAGAACACTGAGTCCCTGCAGAATGACAGTGGCGTCCTAAGCATCTCTCAGCTTGGATTGTTTCTCTTGAGAGCTCAGGCCTGCAAAGGCCCCTGGAAAGTCTGCTCAAAGCCGTCCCCCTCCTGCCCGGAGAACATGAGGCATCATCTATCTGCCAGATAGCATTTTGTCCCAAAAGGACAGGATCTCGTATCTTGGGGCTCGGATTGTAAGGGATAAGGTAGCAAATGCCAGAATCATGGCAAATCAAGAAAAAACAGCATTTTATAAAATCCCGTGCGGGTGACACATGCATGAACTTTGAAAGGAGAGTGGGTGCTCTGCTGTCCCGGGCACCTGTGGTACCCTCTCCCTCACAACTACGTCCCCACTCTAGCATTTCGAATCTCCCATGTGACCTCAGGAAAGTTCAGGGTTTCCAGGGCCTTTGAAGAGTTGGAATGGACTTTGACATGAGGTGCTTTGATTTTCCTTCACCAGTGATTGAGAAATTCACTGAAAACACCAGATTTTGCCTCATCTGTAACTACCTGTCCAAGATCATCCCCGCCTTGCAGTCTCGGTGTACTAGGTTCCGATTCGGCCCCCTGACACCTGAACTCATGGTTCCCCGCCTGGAACATGTCATAAATGAAGAGAAGTGAGTATATCCGGAAGCGGGAAGGGGCCAGGGATGACAGCTGATATTGACCGAAAGGCAGTAACATCGCTAAATGACTTAGCAGAATGCCTAGGCCAGGGGGAGCACGGGGGACTGCTGGCTGCTGTCATTTTCTCTGGTATCTCATGGACATTCCTCCTCATAAAAGTCATTTGGTTTTTCTTGATTCCCTCCTCCTCCCCTGGAAGCTGTCCCAATTTCCTCCTACTCTGTCATTGGAAACCGCCTGCTGCCGAGTCCCTTCTGCAGATGCTCCCAGCCTTTTTAGACTAGAAGGGAAGGTTCTGAGACATTGCATTCCAAGGAATCAGATGCCAAGCGAGTAGCTTCCCCAAGCGGCTGCTTATCCTAAAGGAGGGGTCTTGCCCTATGATCATCCGGCGGCACACCAGGGCTCTCCCTGGGGAACATAGCTTACAGCCAGTTGCTTAGTGTAAGGATTCTTGGTCCGGCATAAGGGTCTTCTAGACTTGGGGTGAACTGTGATTACTAATGTGAGGCCCACATCCCTAAGAACCAGAGTGAGTTCTAGACAGATTAGGAGAGTATTGTTAGCTCTGGTCTCCTTTTTTCCTTTCATTCTTTTAAAGCCCGAGTCACCCAAGACCATCTCTTTCCCCTTGGTGACACTTGTGCTCTCGCAGGGGCTTCACAAATCCCTGTTCACGTTTCCTTTCAGAGTTGATGTAAGTGAAGACGGAATGAAAGCACTTGTGACTCTCTCCAGCGGAGATATGCGAAGGGCCCTGAACATTCTGCAGGTTGGTCGTACTCCAAGCACATTGAGGGTCACTGTTTCAGAAGTTTTTCAACAAAGGGACAACCTGTCATTAAATTCAGAAATCTAGAGCAGCTAGGACAGCTCTCATAATGTCCCAGATCCCCACCCTTTGTACATTGATTAATTGAAAGAATCCTTTGTCACTAACAAGGCACAGGCGGGGAGGATTCTGCAGCTCTTAACAGCCAGCAAGCAGCAGCCAACTCTCACCAGTGAAAGACATGGCGTTCGAGGTGTTCCAGCCTGTGTCATGTCACTGCTGCAGCAAGTTCACCCTGGCAGCTGCTGACAGACTGGGATGTCCCCTCTGCCTGCACAGAGCACCAATATGGCCTTTGGGAAGGTAACCGAGGAGACCGTCTACACCTGCACAGGGCACCCGCTCAAGTCAGACATTGCCAACATTCTGGATTGGATGTTGAATCAAGACTTCACCACGGCCTACAGAAGTATCCTTTTTGAGTCCAGTACCTTCACCCCAATGCCCAAGGATGGCTGGCTGGCTGCTTGTGGCTTCAGTCAGCTTGTTGTGGAAATCAGGGTCTTGGGCAGAGTGGGTACTTGCTTTTAACACCCCAAAAGTTGTGCCTCACTGTCTTTGGCCTGTGTAAGACTTAAAACAACTTGGCTCACAGATGGAAAATGCAGTAATTTTAAAGTGGTTGGTGTTACTGTTATTTCGTCATGAAATTGGTGACTGGAAGCCGTTTGAGGATTGCATTTGGCTCTGCCTTCACTAGAAGGGATATAACTGTACTTTCTAGAAAGCACTTACTGAAGATAAAACATTTAAAAAGCAAGAATTGGAGTGTAATATGAAAGCTGAAGGAAAAACAGCTGTATTGTAATTAAAGGCCCTATTTTATAATCACTCTCCACGTTTTAGATTAAAACTTCTCTGCAGCCTGTTTGCTCTGGAACTTGTTCCTTTCCCTTAACTGCTCCTGTTTAGATATCATGGAGTTGAAGACTCTGAAGGGGCTGGCATTACATGACATCCTGACCGAGATTCACTTGTTTGTGCACAGAGGTAACCTGCATCAGTTGCTAGCAAAGAAGCTGTGGAGGAGGTCACTGTCACACACTTTGGGGTTAAGGGATGTTAGAAAGTGAATGTGAGCTCTCTTTTGGAGACAGGGTCTCATTATGTAGTTCAGGCTGGTCATGAACTTCCGGTTATCCTCCTGCCTCAGCCTCCTAAGTGCCAGGATTACAGGTGTGTACCACCACACCCAGCTCAAACCTTTATTCTTTTTTTTTTTTTTTTGGTACCAGGGATCAAACTCGGGTCCTTCAAACCTTTATTCTTGAAACAAAGAAACAAGAATGAAGTCATATAAATCTGATCCCTTAATTTAGCAATCCTGTCTTGCTATTTGAAACTTTGTTCCAGCTGGGCATGGTAGGCAGGAGGATTGCAAGTTCAAGGCCAGCATGCACCACATAGCAAGACCCAGTCTCAAACAAAAAAAGAAAAAAAGCAAAGAGGGAGATGATACATCTTCATGTAAACCAAAGCAGGCTTTTTTTAATATATTTTATTTTATCCTGTTTCCCCCCCGCAAGCCCCGTCCCCTCCCTATGTACAAAAGCTTTGTTTCCATTTTTTCCTTCTATTTTCACTTTTTTCTTGTCCCTTCTTTCCTTTTTCCCTTCCTCCCATGTTCCCCCTCCCATTTGAACGCTTTCTTTCCATTTCCCAACATCCGTTATACTTTTCAGTCCTTATTTCCACTTTCAGTTTCTCACACCAGAGAAATAATGCGGTATTTAAACATGTGTGTCCGATTTATTTCACTTAGGAGTATGGTCTCAAGGTCCATCCATTTAGCTAGAAATGTCTGAAGCTCATCCTTCTTTATGGCAGAGTCGTACTCCATTGTATTAAAAAAACATATTCTGGGGCTGAGGATTTAGCTCAGTGGTTTTGGTGCCTGCCTCGCAAGTGAAAGGTCCTGAGTTCAATCCCTGGTACCAAAAAAAAAAAAACCCATATATTCTGGGTGGGGGATTTAGCTCAGTGGTTCCGCTGCCTCCCTCGCAAGCTAAGGTCCAGAGTTTGATCCCTGGTACCAAAAAAGAAAAAAAAGTGCTAAAAACCACTTCTTTACCCACTCATCAGTTGCTGGGCATTTGGGCTATTTCCAAGATTTAGCTATTATAAACTGTGCTGCTATAAACAGGGGTGTGCATATATCGCTGTGGTAGGATGCTTTTAATTTCGGGAAGATAACCAAGAAGAGGAATAGCTGGGTCAAATGGAACCTCTAGTTTAAGTTCTTTGAGCAATCGCCACACTGATTTCCACAGTGGTTACACCAGTCTGCACTCCCACCAACAGTGGAGAAGCGTTCCTTTCTCCCCACAGCCTCGCCAGCATTTGTTATCTGTTTTTTGGTACTGGGGATTGAACTTGTGACCTTGCGCTTGTGAGGCAGGTGAAGCAGGTGGTGGAAACACTGAGCTAAATTCCCGGCTGCAGCATTTGTTATCTTAAGGAAACTGTCTCAAGTTCCACACCTGTTTGTACCTTCTGTATAAGGAAATGATTCTTCTCAGCCTCAGCAGCACCTAGGAATCACCTCAGCCATTCAATCAGTCTCTGGGAGACAGCAGGTATCAGCATTGTTCATAGTCCCCTGCCCGGGCTTTAGGAGGAGCACTTCAGTCTTCAGCCAGCTACGCGTGGGGGACACTTTATGTCAGTGAGTGTTGGTTCTACCTGTGCAGAGCCTTTTTTTTTTTTTTAATCCTGGTAGTACTGAGGATTGAGTCTGGGGCCTTTGCAATGAGCTACATCCCCAGTCCCTTTTTTATTTTTTTGAGACACAGTCTGAGGCACTTGCGATGTTCCTGCCTCATCCTCCTAGGCTGCTAGGACTGCAGGCATGCACAACCACACTGAACCCAGTTGCTTTGAAGTATTTTTGAAAGTGGGACAGCAAGTGAGAACTTAGCCTTCATGATGACTTGTGAAGCTACCAGGAAAGAGTAGTGTTGGTAGCTCTTCTGTGTTCTCGTAATCACGGTGGAAATTGATATATAGACGTATGTATGTATTATAACCATACTATAAGAATCAGAATAGTGGGTAAAAAGTATGAAATCTAGACTGTCTTCACTTAGAGGCCTGGTAATTTTTGACCAGTCTGAGGCCTATGTGCTGTTTAAACAGACTTTTTTCTGTGGTTTTTTTGATAATAGAAAGTGATGGATCTCATTCATTCGATTTTGTTTTTCCCTCAGTTGACTTTCCATCGTCAGTTCGAATTCATTTGTTGACCAAAATGGCAGACATTGAGTAAGTATTTTAGCAATTTTAATTGTTTTCCCATTGTGAGTTGTTTCTACTTGTTTGATTTCAGCCTTTTATCCACATCATGCCCATATGGTATAATCCAGTTCAGGGCAGTATCAGATGGAATGTGGCCACGGCTGTGCATTACTTGTTTACACAACACAGGAATGAGCACAAAAGACAGATCAGTTACACACTTGACTTCCTCTCCTCAGGCCTCCAAGGCTGGGTCTGTGTTGGTTCTGGTGCTCTCGTCATTTGGGAGGCGCCTTCCATTTGGGGATGACCAGATTCAGCTGTCATTAAGCCATTTTGGCACACTGAAGCATATTGGGGGAAAAGTAAAGACAAAATTTTCCACTTTGCCTGGTTCAGTAAACACTGTTATTAGCCCCCAATGAAGCTGGCAGCTATCATTTAAGTCGACAGAGCATTGGGTTTCAGCTACACATGAGCATAAGCTGGCTCTGATTTACTGTCATTGTCTTTCATGTGCACAAATTAGATCACTTCTTATGGCTGTACTGGGCACTCAAAAGGTAGCAAGATGAACTGCCACTGTCCTGCTTACTCAACCACAGACCCCAGATAAACTTCCCAGTGAAATGTTTTCAAGAAAAGAAATCTCCATCTTATTTACTCAATGTATTTTGTTTTAGTTTTTTGGGGGTTTTTTGGTACCAGGGATTGAACTCAGGACCTCGCGCTTGCAAGGCAGGCATAGTGCCATGAGCTACATCCCTGGCCTACTCAATGTATTTTGCAGATGAGGAAATAATCCTTAATAACAGGAAGTCTGTGTAGAATCAGAACAAAGTTCAGAACACTGCTGTTGATAAGATCTTAAAATCTGTCTTCAACAGTTCCAATGGAATTTCCAAATCAATGTTTAGGGCAAGAAAATGTTACAGGGACACATACAAGCCTGCTTGCTGTCCTGGATCAATTTTGATCAATTCCCATGCTCTTTCGACATTGTCAGCCTTTGATCTCTCCTATTCTCTTACCAAAAGACAGTGGTCTGATCTTTATTTTCATCTCAGTTTGCTTCCTTTCAGGTACAGACTTTCCGTTGGCACCAGTGAGAAGATTCAGCTGAGTTCCCTCATTGCTGCTTTTCAAGTCACCAGAGATCTGATTGTAGCAGAGGCCTAGATGTCCCAAGGCCTGTCTGCCACGTGTTCCAGGGGACCCATCTGTGACTAGAGAAGCAGAGGACTCAGATTAGCACTAAAGTGCTGCTTGGGGCTTTTTGATGAAGCCAGTCACCCCCAGTCTTGGAAAACTGTTCAGAGTACTTTATCTGTGGCTGTTTGGAACAAGGATGTACAAAACAATGTACAACTGTCTTACTATCTTATCTTTTATAGGAAAAAAGGGTGTTTCTCTTCCTAGACTTAAGGCTTTTACCTTTCAGTTGCTTGGGTGACAAGATATGGCTTACCCTATTTTGGTTTGGAACATGAGATTTTCAAGTCTTTTTAATGATAGTCTAATTTCTGCCAACTCAAAGGTAAACATTTCCAAAGTTAAGTTTTATGAATCTAATTTTTAGTACTATCCCCCTTAAAAGGTGCTAATTAATGGATTTCTGACCAAAACTCTTATAAAAACAGTGAAATTGTAATTTTTGGTTTGAGACAGGGTCTGTATTTCAAGCTGGTCTCAAACTTAGAACAATCCTCTTGCCTCAGCCTCCCAAATGCTAGAATTACAGGTTATGTGCCAATGTGCCTAGCTTTTTAAAATGTTTGAATACTTACTTTAGAAACTGATCTTTTTATTTCTGCACTTGAAGACTTACCAACAGGTTCCAAATAGTAACAGTATAAAAAAATCTTTATATAAAGAGCTAGCCATTAAATTGTGACATTGTGAACCACTGGTTGTACAAATCTTATTTAATTTAGGGAAGGCATATGAGGTTAAGCCAGAGTCTAAAGCTGTAATTGCTGAGAGGACTGGAACTTCTGGACAAAGGTAGCAGTCTTTTACAGCAACTCTGCACTAAAGTGCTTCACAGCAAGAATAAAGCGGCTTGCTGGCAGGTTATTACAGGACTCCTTTCCTTAGCTGGTGAAAAAGCTGCTGATTGTCCAGCTTGCAGGTATAATCCTTCACCTAGTATCACACAATAAACTTTTCTTTGGAGGCTGTTCCTTACAAAGGTGTCAAGTTCTCATCTTTCGATAGTTTTAAGTTTCTTAACTTGATACAAAAGGATCATGTGTTTAATAGAAACCATACTTCAAATTTTAATTTTGCCCAGGCTGCCAACATACAATGATATGCTAGTGACAGTGGGTGGCAGCAGTGGCAGCAGCAGCAAGCCACAGCTCCTGTCAGCCATGTGATTACAAGGGGAATAACTGACACTTTGCTGTGTACTGCATTACCAAACTGGTGTTCAGTAGATGCGTTGGGCACATCTTCAACTTGAGTATTTTTAATTTACAGTGAGACTATTGGGATGTAACCCCACTGTGACGCTGAGGCACATCTGTACCATAGAGTAAAAGGGCTGGGGGTATGGCTAAGTGGGAGAGTGCTTACCTAGTACGTGTGAGGCTCTGGGTTCAATTCCCAGTGCCACATAAACAAGTAAAAAAGGAGAGAAGTAGGTTCTCTTTCATCTATGTAGAAGTCACTACCAAGGACACCAGTAGTTTTGACTCTACTGACCAAGTAGGGCCTCAAAGAAAGCACCAAGGGCCTCTCAGATAATGCTATATGTGCTATCTCCAGATAACCATAAAAGGAGAGAGAGAAAAAAAGATAAACATAAAAAGTTGGTCAATTGTTCCCAGTCTCCCACCGTACTACTTGACTTTTTTTTGGTACTGGGGATCAAACTTTGGACCTTGCGCTTGTGAGCCAGGCAGCAGAACCACTGAGCTAAATCCCAGACTCCTACTTGTTTTAAAAGGTGTTTTTCTTAAAGGAAAAAATTAGACAAAGACAAAAGCTTGTTTGGTTTTTTTTTTTCCTTCAATGAACGCCTCATTTTGAAATGTTTTCATCAAGCAACAAAAAGTAGAGGAGATTCCTCTACCCTGTACAAGTTATGTATGTTATACTGCCTTCATAAAGCATTAAGAAAGCCAAAGAATAAGATGTTGCATTTCTTTTAAAATAATTTATAATATATTAAATTTTCCTAAGGCAGATTTTTGTCTGAATGAGGTGTCTTGATGAGATAATCACATGCCACTGAAGGAGAACAGTACTTTTCAGGAGCTATTTTTGTTTAGGTGTAGAGTTGAGACTGGCTGATGAGTCCAATGAGGTCAAGCAGCAAAGACAGATTGTACACAAGAATACGAGGGGAAGTGATGACAACAGCAGTTCTTCACACAGCTAAGACACATCTTACAACTGGTTCATTAAAGTATGCTGGTCTTTAGATACAATTGAGAAAAACACAGTTGTACCTTAATACAGTATCTGTGAAAAAACAAATAAATATGCTAATAAATGGCCAATAACTGACAACTTGGTAGCCATTTCAACAGTCATGCAGTTTAGGATTATATCCTCATATAATCTGACATACAAGTTTGTCATCTGCACATGCACACCATTGTTTAACAACAAAAACAGCCAATAATAGTGTCTGTATTGGTCAGGAGCACACAGCCTCTGTTTCATCTGTGATTTAGTGAACACCTTATACCAAAAGGCTCCTTCAAAACCTGGCCCTGCTGGTCAGAGGAGCCTGAGGGAGGCACCTGGCAACATCAAAGCTACCCTGACCATAGCAGGAAGGAGGGAACTTTAGATCATGCTACCACTGCACCTGAAACAGGGGTGACGGGTACTATGCTACGTGGCAGGCACATTTCTCAGCTCAAGGAATGTGAGCTTTGCCACCACTAAGGAGAGCCTTTGAAGGCCTGCTTACTTATCAAAACATCATCAATAACAGCACTCTGAATCCAAACAACTACAAGTTTAACATCTGCTGTTTACAAGTGGACCAAAGATTTAAGCTAAGGCTCTGTTGTGGCTGAAGAAGAATCAATCTCCTCTGAAACTGCCTCGCACATGCCACAGAGGAAAAGGTGCATGGTGAGTCCACTGGGATGGGGCTTGCTACATTCTATTCACAATCCTAAAGAAATTCTGTTTCAGCTCGGACCCGATATTTGGCTCATTCTTCCAACTATTTCTTTGCCAGGAGGATTTATTCTGCCACAGAGAAAAGATGTGTAGCGTTGCTTAAAAAGTCCTGTATGTGAGGAACTCTTTCATTTTCTTGGGGATTGGCAGTGCTAGGACTTGGTAGGTTGTCAGGAAACTCCGAAGGGCTTTCCGGCATAAGTGCTTCAGTGAGGACAGGACTCTAGGCGCAGTCCAGAACTGCACGTGGCCATCTCTTGTTCTGAAATGAAACAGCAGCAATGCACTAAGGCTGACCCTGGAAGTTTTCTGTTTTATTATGATGGACACTGATGTTTGTATTTTTTTCTTTGTTACTCTTGGATAATGTTTTTCAATGTGACCTGAAATACCAGGAGACTCCAGAGGGTGAAATGGGAACAGATTAAAAGGTGTGCTGATAGCTGCACATAGTGGTGCACACCTGTAATCCCAGCACTTGGGAGGCTGAGGCAGGGGGATTATCATGAGTTTGAGGCCAGCCTGGGCTACAAAGTATATTCAAGGCCAGTCTTAACTACAGAGTGAAACCCTGTTCAATATATAAATAAAGGCATGCTGATAAATGAAGGGTGCTGACAGAATTCTAAGAACTGAAGATACAGCCAGACATGGTAGTTCATGGTGTAATCCTAGCATGTTAGGGGTCTGAGACAGAAGAATTTCAAGTTCAAGCCTGAGCAACTTGGTGACACCCTGACTCAAAAGAAAAAATTGTTTAAAGGCTGGGGATATAGTTCAGTATGAATACATGGGTTCAATCCCCAGTAGCATAAAAACAAAAAAGCCCAAGATGTGGCATATGCATGTGGTCCCAGCTACTCAAGAGACTGCGGCAGGAGAATCACCTAAGCCCAGGAGTTTAAGACCATCCTGGGCAACACAGCAGGTCCACATCTCAAAACAAACAAAAAACCCACCTCAAGATAGCTCTGTTCCCATGCACCATCTGTGCCAGCAGAGCCCTTTCTATATAGTAGTGCAAAGGAAGAGGGAAGAGTGGCACCTACTGAATTACAGGTGTTACCTGTAAGGTGGTCTCAGCCATAGTTTCCCATATAAATGCTCCATCTTAATTTGCACTTCCCTGTGGACCTGGCCCATTAGGTGGCACAAACAGTAGGTCTTTAATTACGTTTAGGTTAAGTATCATGAATATGCAATACATCAACAGAACGGAATATTTAAATCTTACATAATCTTGGATTTCATTTAAGGGTTCGTTAAAGGCAAGGAAATTCTAGATGTTTCTTCCCTTAAAAAAAATACACGGTATACCCAGTGGAAACTGCTAGCCGAGATACGTACCCTGTGGCAATAACTCCACCATGTGGAAAAAATGTGCAGCAAAGACCGTTGGTCATAGGAGCAAATGCAATTGGAGCCTTCAGTTCCAGGGCCCAGATTCTGAGGAGCCTGCATAAGAGAGGGGGCACAGTTGCATGTTACCTGACCTGGGCCAGACCAAGACGCTGCAAGTACCTCCTCTGAGGCCTCCCAAAGAGATCTCTGGTTACCTGTCATCTGCCACTGTAGCGAGGTACAAGCCTTCGGGAGAGAAGCACACGGATCTCAGTGAGCTCATATGGACATCGCTGTCATCCATGGTGGGGTCGAGCTGAGTGTGGCTGCAGGAAGAACAGGTCATTAGGCCCAGAGTGAGGCCACCCTCCCCTGCACCTCACCTGAGGCAAGAGTCCAAACTGCCAGGGCTGGTGGTGCCCCTTATGAGAAACCTCAGGGTCCACAAACTGGGAAAAAAGGGCCCTTCAGAGGGCTCCAAGTGTCTTGAGGGGGCTGGAGGGTTACTGGTACTTCCTTGTGCTAATTTCCTTATGCAAAGTAGGTCAGCCCTCATTTTAATGCCACAGTACAAAGGGAAAGTCTTTTTTTAGGCTGCGATACATGATAATTATAGGACTACCTATTATTTGCTTCATAAAACAACAGAGACAAAGGGAAAAAGTAGACCAAGTCTGTCAGAACATGAAAATTCACACTGGAAACGGCAGTTTCGATCAGAAGATCATTCTGACTTGTTACTACAGTTATTACTAAATGGAAATAAAGAGTCACTTTGAAGTTTCATAATGCTGAATCCAAAGAGATACAGACAGCTTCCTAAGCCAGGAGACATGAGGACACTTGGGTCTGATTTCCAAAGTCAATGTGACATCGAAACAATGACTGGCTTTTGATGCAGGCTGTCCCCTCCCTTATCCCAGACTCCCAGGAAGTAGTAGCAGGAATTCAGTCCTTACTGGAGTGACCTCAGCCTTTCACCAGTGTAGGGATCCCACATAATCACATTGGTATCATAAGAAGCTGTAACAAGCAAGGCAGAGTCCGGGGAGAAGTCACAAGAGACAACACTGCTTTGATGACCCTCTAACTTCCGTATTAATGTGTAGGACCGCATGCTCCATAGAAAGACCTGTGGAGAGAGTTACAGGTGCCACGTAAGGGACAGGAACAAAGAGCTCAGTACACAAACAGCAGTAAAACACACTGAAATTCCCTCCTCGGGCCACACCGCCAGGCAAAACTGTTCTCTCTTCCTTTCTCTGCAGCATTTCCAGAACCTACTGTACAGGCTGACGGAAAGTGATGGATCTGAATTCTTCAGGCACTTACTGGGCATGCTCAAAGTGTTTTCTTTAAGAGAGAATAAGCCAGGCTAACTTTAGGAAGGCTGCCAGCTAAAATGATCCAGAGGCTTCTAAGCTATTTGAAAACAGTGTAGTATGTGCTGAGGAAGACAGAAGTCAAGGATACCCTGTTCCACTTAAAGCCAAAAACAAAGGGTAGAAGTAAACTCCAGCCCCATCCCACATCTGCTTACAGCACCAAGGAATCTTCCCAGGCTCTGGATCTGACCTAGTTCACTTCATACCTTTCTGGGAATGATTAAAAGTAGGATTTCCTTTTCTTTCTTTTAAGAAAATGCTCACTGTTGCATGGGGTCCAACCTCAAATGATGAACCCCTGGACTGTACCAAAGGTGA